TTACTCATCTGCTAAATGATGACTTTGGACTCCATTAGGTCTTATCCAACTGAAACCATCACTGGTCCTCCAGTGTTTCTTGTTGTAGGGACAAAAAGGACAGGAAGACGGGGCAGAGTGCACTACAGTGGTTCATTCTGTCTCTTTCATTCTCAAAAGGGGTAAAAAGGGCATCCTGTGCTCTGGGCTTCAAGGCAGCTGCAATTGCTGTGCTCTTTTTGGACTTAATCTGTCACAGCTGCCTGTAAACTGCAACTGAGTGGTGGGTGAGGGGGGCTGTGTGAATGAGCTCCATCAGCGATCAATTTACTATCCTCCAGCTATTCAAGATTGCACCTCATTTACTCAAAGAATGAACTGTTGCAAGACAAAATCTCTGCTGACATGACTGAAGTAGGTCATGTTTTTACTGTAACTTGAGCAGCAGGTATTGTTGGGCTTCCAGGCACCACAAACTTGTGTTAAAGGAGAGGGTATAGAAGATATATGGGACTTAGTCAAATTATTTCTAGCTCCCTTGGGGACCTGATTAGGATAGAGACTCCTGATATGGACCAAATAAAAGTTAGTGAATTATAGTTGGATGAATCCTAAACATTACAAGTAAATGCTATCATATTATGCAAATCAAGGAAGTGATTTCATTTTATTTTTCTCAAGACACGCAGCAGTATGCCACAATATTAAGCACCGTGCAAAGTATACAAGAATATAGATTGAATGGATGAATGTATTAATTCAACAAATATTTTTTCAGTGCTAAGCAAGGAATTTTGTATACAAACTTTCTGGTTATTTATTACATATTAACAAGCACCCCAAAACTCAGTGCTTAAAACAACCATTATCTCTCGAGGTTGTGGATGGAGTGAATTCTGCTGGATGGTTCAGTTGGCAGAGTCTGGTCATCTGGCAACTTGTCCAGGTGGGAGTGTCTGGAATGGCTCAAACACAGTACTGGCTGTTCGATCTCCAAAAGCACATTTAGGGCTATCAACCAGCATGTTTCAGTTCTCTGGACTATCTTCCCCATGTACTTTGGGTTTCCAATGGAGTAATGCATAGATTACTAGTGTAAGGATGTGGAAGTTGTCGATCATCCTACTCCTGGCCTTCTGTAACATTTTATGGGTCAAAGGCTGTAAGATGTCATCTCAGATGTAAAAGGAAGAGAAATAAACTATATCTCTTGATGTAAAGAATGACATGTGCATATAAGGAGGGGAATGACAATTGGGAACATCTATAGAGACTTAATCAAATCTTTTATTACCTGAGCTATTTTCTTTCATTTGAATAAGGTACTAGATTTAAAGGTACAAGACATATAACCACTAGAATGACATAAATTAAGAAGAATGACAGTCACAAGTATTGATAAATTGGTGGAGTAATTGGAATTTTTATGCATGCTGATGAGAATATTAAATGGCACAATCTCCTTAGAAAACTGACAAGTGCTTAGAAATTCAAATGAAAAAGACCTCTAATCTATAGTGACACAAAGCCAACCAGTGGTGCTTGGAGTCATGCGTGGGTGGAGTGAAGTGATTGACAAGGAATATCATAAGGGACTCTTTGAAATGAAAAATATCTTTCTTTGATTATTCTGGTTATGTATGTATCGATTTATTAAGACTCATCAAACTGCACACCTAAAATTTGCTCATTTTATTGCATGCAAATTATAACTCAATAAAATTGATCTTCAAAATAAGATGCTAGATCTGCTCTGGGTGTCCTCAGTTTTCAATGTCACCCATGGATTTGAGGAAAGGCAGATCATCTTTGTCCTTAGTCAATCTTCATATCACCTGAGTTCTTCAAATTTACCTGACACTTCACTGCTTCTTTTAGTGGTCACATCTCCTACTCTTGTGCTATCCTGACTTCTATATTCTGCATATGACTCCACTTACTTTATTTCTCCAAAGCAATGGTACCTGAGTTACTGTGTATAGTAGGCATTTTTTTAAGGGTTTCAGTGCCAGGGCTTGGATGGCAACAGATATATCAAAACACAACATGACTGATATCTAAATATTGGGCACTACTTTTCTGAAATATCTCTCCTAGGCTACTATAGAAAATTATCATCAGCTAAAGTTACCCAGACTGCACCTGCAGACATGATCTATGGGACCTTCAAACTTCTGCCAAATCATGCCCATAAATGTCCCCTATCATCCTTCAGGTCACCTTAAGCATCACACATTTAGACATGCTCATTGAAGTGTTAATATTTTCCCTCTTTGAAGTAGTATTTCTCCTAAAAAGTAATTATGATTTATTATTAAATTAAATTATTCTCAGATTCAAATTAAAGTAGTTTGAGTCCCTCCTCCCCTTATTATACAATATGGATAAAAAAATTTTAGCCTGCAGGAAACTCACAGTACAGAGGAAATGACAGTGGCAAGAAAACAAAGTTTGTGCAATAAGAGACACATGCACAAGTTCCTGCAAAGCAAGAAGAGATGCACACCATGCACACAAGCAGAGCAGGGAAAGAGGAGGGTGTGCAGGAAAACTTGCAGAAGCAATAAAATGCAACTATTGATCATGCACAAAGCTCAATATATACATTTACTTGTGAGGAAGAATCCCCTGACCTATATAAAGAGGAATCCAAAGATGGACTTGTATTTACATGTAGATTAAATCAAGTAGATAAGCAATATTTTCCTTGACTTTCTGATTTCTTCTTCAGGTGGTTCCTACTATGAGAACAATAGTAACTACTGCAATTCCAGATTATATTCTTTGTCTGCACCACTCTAAGAGGTGGTTTACACTATTGGCTGTGTATTAAAATACCCAGGATAGCTCTTTTCCCCCATGAGAAACTCAGTTTTTAATATGTATTATTAATATTTTATTAATTCACGTACACATCTTTATGGATGTCAGACTGTTTCATTTTAGGTTTGAAAGGTGTTGCCTAAGGATCTTTAAAAATAAAAAGCCACTAGGTTAGAAGACAAATGGGTCTGTGTATGAGGACACAGAACATAGTAACACACACCATTCAAACCTGATGTGCATTCACAGTTTAGAACCACTGACACAGAGGGAAAAAATGCCAAAAGTATGTATTCACTCTCACTTATAATTAGAGGCATACAACTTAAAATTCTTTCTTAATTGTTACTAACATACAGCATGAGAGTATATTCCATTGGTCATACCATGGACAAGCTGGTTCTCTCATACATTGTTGATGGAAATTTGGATTAATGCAATTAGGAGAGAATCAGTCATTAGATGGGACTTTGGAAATGTGTAATCAAAATTCATTTACCTTTTGACCCAATAATCTCCTGTAGAAATTAATCCTGCTTCTTTATTTCATAGAAATAAAAAATAATATTTATGTACAAGGTCATTCATTTTTGAAGTATGTGTTTGTAATTTTAAAATATGGGAAGAAACTGTCTGAAAAGCCATATGGTAAAATGGCTGAATAAACTGTGATGCATCTGCAAATGGGGTGCTGTAGTGTGTGACTGAAAAAGAATAAGAGAGACTTTGTGCACTGAAGAGATTTCCAAGCTATCTTGTAAACTGAAAAAAGCAAAATGCAAATATATATATATATATCTAGAAATTGTATTTTGTGTAAGAGAAAAGGCAAAAAAAAAGAAAAGAAAAAGAAAACACACATATTATCTGCTCAATTGTACATTAAAAAAATCAAAGAAAGGAAAGCTCCAAGGCTCATGATGTCTGTTACCAGTGAGGTTGAGTGGGAAGGAGTTTGGTGAACGTTATCTGGATGTAGTAATATTTCTCCATGGACGGCTTTCTGTATAATTTCACCTTTGTTACCAACATATCCTCTAACCAAAGAGGATAATATTTTAGCAAAGATGGGGAAAAATGGCCTCTCCTGAGTTTCAAACAAGTAGCATAAACACAGAGAAGGCAAAAAAGCAGTTAAACCAACTCTCTTTTGAGTAAAGTAGTCTAAGATGATCAGATGATTTTTTTAATGTGCAGAAAAGAGTGTGAACCATGGACCTAGAAAATTAGTATATCTTCTCATCATTTCCAAAAACAAAGCTTAAACTACTTGAAGTCAGTATCTTCAGTATCTATTGAGCAGATTAGACCCATAGCCATTCTTATGCCATTTTCTGTGGACAGGGAAATGCACATATTGATCAACTTAAACTACTCAGGTTATCTCAAAGACCAAAGATGAGTCACATCCCACCCAGAATTTATGGATTCTAATGGAGCATAGATGACCCTCAAAAACATCACACAATAAAGAGGGAAAATTAAGAATATACTCACAGATAGGAAGGGAAAGATATTGACATACCCTGCTTGAAACACTGAGAGGCAGGGCCAGCATGTGCTATTCGAAGTGAATGACAATGATCAACCATAGAACCAGGAGACATGTCTGCTTTGGAGATTCTAATTTTGAGTCAGTCTGTTTTTAGGGGGAATGCAAAAGGAAATCAAAGGCAGGGGATTTTCAGAGATCCAGGCAGTAACTGAAACAGTCCCACTAAATAAATGGGAGGGATAAGATGTCCTGAGAGATCCTGACAGGCAGTCCTGGAGCAGGATAGGATTCTCAAACCTTCTTGTTGGGAACTTGTAACAATGAAAATGCCTGAGTTACACCACAGAAATTCAGTAGGACAGCATGAGTTCCAGAGACGTGATTTTAAACAAACTTCTGAGAAGATTCAGAGCTAGGTGATCCGACCACATTTTGAGAAACTCCTGTAATAGAAAACAAGGATGCCAGTTACCTAGTTACTTTCTGGTAGTTAAAAGAAAATAAAGATTCAATTGAGAGAGTTCAGGCTCAGGTAAAAACTTGACTACTAGACTGGTAATCACATCTCTCCTAATATTAATCATTCCTATCATTAAAAATGCACCCATTATTATATTCCTACCTTGTCTTAGGCCATTTAAATACAGCATCAAGCCCATAAGGAAATCAAAGCCTAATGGCTCAATAACACGTTTACCTTTAGCTCAGCACCTGCAAGAGATGGAGATTCTGCCTGAGTATGAAAATTGAGAGTTTTGCCATTGTGCTACCTGCTACATCGTTGAGAGAACACAGTACAAAGGTAAGAGATGAATTGATGGCAGCTCTATTTTAAAAAGTATGGGCAATATACAATATTATGGGATCTTGACTGATATCATTAATGGCCTCAGAGACAAGTGGGGATGGGAATGGTGGTAAGGACTGATCTTCCAGGAAAAAAGGATAAGCAATGGTAAAGAAAGAAACAAAGAAAGATACTCCCCAGAGGCACCTTTTAATTAGGTGACAGATAATAGTCATTCCTAAGCAAAGAATGTTATCATGCACCTTGAATTCTGGTTTTAACACAGATAACTCATGATTTTGGGTATATTGATATTTATGGTCCTCAAAATTTCTATTTACAAAGTAAGAGTGCCAACCTACATAGTTCATAGAGGAATATGGAATAAAAAGGAGATGGGAAACATACTCATTTTCTTTTTTTTAAAAAAAAACGAATTAAAACTATTCAGAAGCTGGGAGTGGTGGTGCATACATGTAATCCCATCTACTTGGGAGGCTGAGGCAGGAGGATCACACGTTTGAGGCTAGCCTTGACCATTTAGTGAGATAATTTCTTAAAACCGAAAAGAAAACAAACTACACAGGATATAGTCCTACAAATTCATAATCCTATTGGGTTATAATATATCCTAATTGCATAATTCTATGCAAATTGCAAAACATATTTAGGGCAATTTATCAATAAGAGTTATATTTCAAAAGTTGAAAGATGATTTGAATACAATATAATCAAAGGGTCAGCATTTTTTTTGTGTAAGACTTTACATCTAAAACTTCTTCCTGAAGGGAAAATCCCAAAGAAATATATTGCAAACCACCTACTTGAAAATTGCGCATAGGCTGCCCTTTCATTTCAAGAGAAAACAGTGATCCAAAAATCAGTTATGAGAAATGCTTTGAAAACATGTCAGCAATGCTGAAATTAGCTCATGCCTGCTCAGCCTTTCCTGGACGTCCTTGGGGAAGCATCAGCCCGGGTGAGAAAGGTCTCTGGGTGGTCTTTATTCAGTGCCATTGACCCTCTCCCTTCTTATGTGTTAGGACTGTGACCAGGTCCTGGACAGAGATGAGGAAGAATCTTGATTCTCCAAACAAGCAAGGAGACAAGTAGCCACAAAAGACACCCACAGGGACACAAGTTTTCTTCCTGTTCCTGCTGAAGCTTCTGAGGGTCTAAACTTCTACTTTGAGGAAGGAATTCATCCTGTAAAATGTGCCATTGTGGTGCCAGAGGACAGGCCCTAGTACCACTGATATCACCGCCAGTCACCACTCAGATCCTGTCATTCTCATTTCTGTGCATTATTCTATTTACAAAAGTCAGCTCTGCCATTTGTTGTTTTTCTAGTTTCCTTGACTACCAATTAGTAAATTCTTCATTAACTGTGATAATGATTAAACTTATCAAGTTTTTGGTCCTCCAGCACTGGCTTTTGCTTGACTTTTGCTATTAAAAAAACTTGAAAGCAAAAAAAAAGAAGGAAGAAAGACAAAACCAGATGTTCAGTGAAATGGTGTAATGGGTTTTTATAAGGGCTATAACAGGAAAGGTTCAATGTGCCATGAAAACAGTTGCGACTCACTGTACAAGCTGGAAGAAGCTTTCCAGAGGGGAGATGATAAGAAATGACACTGTCCAAAAGTCTATTTTCTGCTCACACCTGAATCCCACCATCATTCGCTAGGCTGTGTACAGCAGCCCAGTGGTTTTAAGCAGGAGATATTTAGAGGCTCCCCGTCTTCTCATCTCCCCATTTCTCAGTCTTGGAAGAAACCAATGCACATTTATCACATTTCCAGTACCAGGCACTGTTCCATTTCTACCAAGTACAATGTAGTTTTCCAAAGATGATAAGATAATCACAACATCCCAGATATGACACCAATCCTTCTTAAGCTACCAGTGAAAGAATTGGGGGGTTACTCCAATATCAAGCCATTGCTTCTGGAATTCAATTTCTCCTCTGGACATCTAATTTTTTTTTCTTTTTCTTTTTTGTTTCAGGCAGAGGGTAATTTGTATAGTAGCTGAAATAAAAGAAGCTTAACAGATGAAATCCATGGTCCAACCCTGTGGACATCATTGAGGAGTTAATGAAATTTCTGAGCCTGGAACAGATTATTAGGCAACTGCTGAGATTGGAAAAAGATTAAGCTACTGAATTGCAGCAGAACCAAAGGCAGGAGTCCAAAGTCAGCATTCATCATGCTCCATGGAAGATGAACAATTCAGGAAATAGAAGTGGGTAAGCTGCTCTGAACTCTTAAGCCATTGTGCCCTGTCCCTACCCAACCCCGATGGATGGACATTGTTTCTTTTGCCCAGTTCTGTCATTCCCCCTGCTCAAAAAATATTCAGTAGTTCCCCGAGTGTCCCACACACTTATTTCCTGGCATTCTAGGACATCCAAGACTCTCCTTCCAATTCCTTCATGCAATGTATTCCATTGCTTCCCTACATAAATTATATTTGGGTGGGGAGCACATTAGGCAGGTTTTTCAGAGTAGATATCCACCGTTTTATTCATTAATCCCTGTTGCCATACCTTTGTTTACATTATTGCCCTAACTGGAAATGATCCTTCCGCATGCTTAGTTGCAAGGTCAATAATAAAATTGGGATTTTCCCCAAATACAAATAGAGAGAATTGCATGGGTGCCTCCCTCTGCATGGTACTGCACAGGCCTATAGTTGATACCTGGCTGAATCAGAAATGTTTTCTGCTTATAAGGAAACTGAAATCTTGGGAGAACTTTAGGGGGGAAAAAGTCATTTTTTTCAAAAAATTCTTATGGTATCCTAATGTTAGCTTCCATATATTGAGTATTTGCTAGGTGCTAGGCATCACACTGAATACTTTCCATAGACTACCATTTTTATGTGTCATATATATATTAGATAAGGATCATAATTATCCCCACTTTAACAATGAGTAGACTGTGGCTCTGAAAGATTTAGTGATTTATCCAAAACCAGTAAATAGCTCAGTAGAGATGCCAAATGGAGTCTCTCTGACACCAAAGCATACAATTCTTTTACCATGTCCTAGGGAATACCTGCTCAGCTCCGGTGTATGCCATGAAACAGAGACAAGAGTAGGGACAGACAAAGAATGCTTGATGTATAGCCCTGCAGTGTTCTGGGCAAGAGTTAATGAGCACATGAATGGAAGGAAGGCGATCTGAAAGGGGGAAAGTGACTAATTCATAAAGACAGCCCTGTTAGATATTCTCATATGCTCAGATGTGGGGTACAGAGAAAGAGAGCCATCAGAGAGGACACTAAGACCCAACCCCAGTTAACAAAGTATACGCAGAGAGAAAGAATGCACTCTTGGAAGCAATGGTTTCCCTGCAACATAAATCCACGGATCCAACATTCTTCTTGAGAAAAGTCCTTCTGAATCACCAAAAGAGCAAGAATACCACAGGTCTTTAATTTTCCTGGCAAACGATTTTCAGCCACATTGCTTGTTGGTCACACATCAGGTTTCTAGCCTCTTGTTCCCACAGGACTCTGCTTCTTCTCTCAGGTACAGGTGGCAAAGGATTAGAAGAGATCAACAAGAAAAGGATCCTCTTCCCTCAGTTTCAGCCATAATGGGGGGAAAAGTCAATTGGCCTTCACTTGATTTTTTTTTTATTTAACTTGTTTGTGTAGTAAAATGCTTTGGATACAGATTAACTTTCCCTGCTCAATACTGCCTAATTGATTCACCCACCTTGAAGCAGAAGCTTGCAAGACCCTTGATAAATAAATTGAAAGGCTTTCTTTGCTTCATAACTCCCTCTGTTAAGTAGCAGTTCAAATAGGTTGGGGATTCCTAAATATTCTCCAGTGACAAAGTCCTCCAGAGTTGGGTCAAAAGGAAAAAAAAATCTTCCTATATCACTAGTGCTGTACTCATTGCATTGGGTGTCTTGATCCATTTGTAGTGCTATGACAAAATGCCCAAGACAGGATGATTTATAAAGAGCTGAGATCTAGTTCTCACAGTAAGCGTGGCGATGAGTCCAAGATCAAAATGTCAGAGGTTTCTGGCCTGGTAGGAGCCCAGTTTCTCTTTTCAAGTGAGTTCCTTGCTGAGGCATCCTGAGTAGAGTATGAACATTGTGCCCTCACATAATGGAAAGGGTGGAAGGGCAAGAAAGTGCTCTCTTTAATTTCAAGTCCTGTTATGAGTACTAGTCCCATTCATGAGGGCAGAGCCCTCCTGATTTAATCTTTTCCCAAAGGCATCAAGTCCTGAAACTATTGCACTGACTATGAAGTTTCAATAGGAATTTTGCAAGGGGTAATATAATTTAAACTTTAGCACTGGGTGGACTTGGGGAAGTTCATCCAGAGGTAGCACAGAAATGACTCTATTGAGCATAGTACAAGCCAGAAAATATAAAAGCACATAATATCATGTTTATCCATCAAGAAAAATAAATGTGATAGGTCTTACAATTCAAACTCTGGAGATATAGGAAACAATACACAGAGACGCAAAGTGACTAACCCAAGTAGCACAGCTAGAAAATGGTGGACCTAAAATTCTAAGCCAGACTTCTCAAAAACCTCATTCCATACTTTCAACATTTTGCTTCCTTTCCAGCCAGCAAAGAGACCTGGTATGTTTCCTTTTTGAAAATATAAAACCCAACATTTGCTAAATCAGTGATTTCAACCGAGAAGAAATTTCAAAAATTATTATGCCAAGATTAATTCTCAACAATGAAATTCACCTGCTCCTTCTGATGCTAGGAAATAGTATCAGACTAAAAATTTGGAAGGGGCCTTCTCCAAGGGTGTATGACAAATGTGACACTGAAGTAAGGACCATCCATGGAACGGAAGGGGCCTTTGATCACTGAACAAAGGAGTTGTTCTCACAAGAAAGGGTTCAGGAACAATCAGCCCCTGTCCCTGGCCCCTGATCAGGCAGTAGCCTTGGGGCCTGTCCCCAGTACAAAGCAAACACCAGGTTTCCTCGCCAAACCTGACAGTATTGTTCCTATTTGATCACCAAATGGATACACCTCCTGCAAAGAGAAAAGGCATCTAGTCGACTTTGCTCACAGTTGTTCTGGAGACTGCCTGGGCTCAAGCCCGTCTCCCTGCCTTCCTGCTGGGTCTCTCTCGCAGTCGGATGTAGACTCAAATGCACATTATACTGCCCCAGCCCAGAAGCTGTCATGCACATGAGACGGCACTTATTTAGGAAGCTGCATATATATTGGAATTTTTCTGCTGCTTATCAGTATTCACCTGTTGAGTATCTGATGCACTGTTGAGGTACAGCATTGGCTCCAGTACATTGAGGCATCGAGATATACAATGTGGGAGATCAATGAGTGTCTTGATGATGTAAGGGAGTAGAATCCACCATGAGTGATAGAATGAAGAGAAAGTAGCCTCAATAATAACAATGGTTTTAGTGCACTCCAACCCCTGTTGACATTGCTTTAATCCTGCTGTGCCGGAATTTGTGACAGAATAGAGAACAACTCAGAGTAGAAAACTGCACTAACAGGGTGGGGAAGACAAACACTCAAATTCATAAGTCAGAGAGTAATCCAGACTGTGAGAAAAATACATCAGGGTAATATGATAAGGAGTTACTCAAGGGCAAATGTAACATTGACTGATGTCATTGGAGAAAATCATCTAAGCAGCTGACATTTTAATAAAGAGTTAATGAAGAAAAAGAAGTAAGCATAAGGGTGAACTCACATAGGAAATGTCAGAAGGAAAAATCATGGGTCAAAAATATCTCCAATGATGATGTCTAAAAATCCCACGATTACTCATTGCTGTGGCAACCCAGAAAAACCAATTTTTTCAATCATCTGCCACAAAAGACATAGCTGACTGTTGTCACCAGCTGCTGTTCCTATGGATCCACCAAGAACATGCTTCCAATGAACTCATCCCAGTCAGTGCCTGAGCACAATAGTGCTATTAAAGAAGGTCCAATCAATTGAGATGAAAACTAGTAATAATGGGTGATTTTGACTCCAGGTCTCCCCATTAGTATGACTGCATCCTTCCTGGAACTGAGGGATAGTCTCAAATGTCTCCTACTTGAGTCATTCTTCTTTCCCTCTAGCCTTCCCAGGAGACCCATTAGAACTATGTCACAGTCTGCAGATTGTCTTCTCTGTTCTCAACACAAATAAACCTCTTAAACATCTTATTTTTTCGTGGTTTCTGCCTTTCGGTGGATCCTTAGGAACAAACAATAAGCCGAAGTCACACAGTAGGAATTCTGCCTTACAAGAACCAAACGGGAGAAGGACAAGTTACATGATAAACATTTCAGGGCTTCCAGAAATG